CTACCAGATATCTAGATATCTGTGGAACATGTAATGTGTAGTACCTACCAGATATCTAGATATATGGAACATGTAATGTATAGTACCTACCAGATATCTGTGGAACATGTATAGTACCTACCAGATATCTGTGGAACATGTAATGTATAGTACCTACCAGATATCTAGATATATGGAACATGTAATGTATAGTACCTACCAGATATCTGTGGAACATGTAATGTATAGTACCTACTAGATATATGTGGAACATGTAATGTATAGTACCTACCAGATATCTAGATATCTGTGGAACATGTAATGTGTAGTACCTACCAGATATCTAGATATATGGAACATGTAATGTATAGTACCTACCAGATATCTGTTTAACATGTTATGTATAGTACCTACCAGATATCTGTGGAACATGTAATGTATAGTACCTACCAGATATCTGTGGAACATGTTATGTATAGTACCTACCAGATATCTGTGGAACATGTAATGTATAGTACCTACCAGATATCTGTGGAACATGTTATGTATAGTACCTACCAGATATCTAGATATCTGTGGAACATGTTATGTATAGTACCTACCAGATATCTGTGGAACATGTTATGTATAGTACCTACCAGATATCTGTGGAACATGTAATGTATAGTACCTACCAGATATCTGTGGAACATGTAATGTATAGTACCTACCAGATATCTGTGGAACATGTAATGATATCTGTGGAACATGTAATGTATAGTACCTACCAGATATGTAATGTATAGTACCTACCAGATATCTGTGGAACATGTAATGTATAGTACCTACCAGATATCTGTGGAACATGTTATGTATAGTACCTACCAGATATCTGTGGAACATGTTATGTATAGTACCTACCAGATATCTGTGGAACATGTTATGTATAGTACCTACCAGATATCTGTGGAACATGTAATGTATAGTACCTAGGTATATGAATCTTACTAGATATCTGACATGACATGCCTTGCTAATACTCTTCTTCATTGATGTTAATTATACTTATATTTTCTCAATAGAACAGACATAATTTGCTTATTTCTTCTCATAATCATAATTTATATTTGTTTTGGTTTTTTAATGTTTAAAAAGGTTTACTTAACTCTCCTTTTACAATATATGTATATTTAAAATTTTGCATCTGACAATGAAGAATCTCTAGTTTAACAAATCAATCAAACCACTCTCAGATTTTTTTTTCTTTCATTTTGGATGTTTTAATTATTGCTGATAGATATATTTCAATAATTTCATCACGTGTAACAGATTCCAATAAAAAGCTGTACAAATATATTCACATTGCCATGAATAACAGCCAGTTCAATGTTCCATTGATATCTACATGAAATATAAATCCAACACTTTAACAAGGTTTTAAATTTTTTTAATTATATTTCAAAGAAATGAGGCGTTTATAAACCCATGGTTGTGTACATAATGGCATTATATTTTGTTATACATAGAATGATGTTTTGTCTGATTTTAATTAGAAACTACATGTGCCAGGTAATCATATCAGAGGTGTTGAGGTATGAATTGATAATGTGCACCCAAAGACAAAACATGTAAATATGAACAATGATATGTTTATTTATCCATGTGCCATTTTATTGACTTTTAAGTTTTTGAAATTGATTATTAAGGCTAACTTTAAATTTCTTAGAAATATCTGCAGTACTTCTCATAAAACATGGAGATCATTGTAAATGAATTGATGAGTAGCACACAAAATGTCAATAATTTCTCTTACTAGTGAGTAAGTTATCAGAAAAGAATTCCTAGGATCAATAATATGTAAATTTCTTACATCTTACATAGGTTTTAATACAACCACACCATGACAATGCCAAGGAAATGTTTAGTTTTCTTGATGACCTGCATGCACACTTCGAAACAGGGAACATTTCTTAAAACAAATTAACAGAACAATGCAATATTTTCATTGCAGATGTGTGTGATAATTCCTTTGGTTCATGATATGATGTCATATGTATACAGGGAAATCCCAGGTGGTCAAATATCTTTTTGATGGATGACACAGTAATGTTATTTTTTCATCTGATTATGAAGTCATGATGGTCTTGGAGTGCAATTTTTACTGATTTAATCTTACTTTCAAAGTGTATTGGAGAGAGAAACCCTGAAATTGTTTTGTTTCTGGAATACTGAACACACACACACACACACACACACACACACATATATATAGAGACAGTAATCTATTTCAGCACTCTTCACACCTGATATGTGCTTAGTCACGATGGAAGACCATTGTTTTTCATTTGTTTCTTACAAAAAACTTGTCACAAGGCATCAATTTGCTTATCTTTAGGAATAATGTACATCAGACTTAGTATGTATACAGTCAATTTATCATCAGTGTAGAATTTTGTGCCTTCTATTATTGTACATTGTCACACAGAATATTCAATATGTTGTGCTAAATAACTTCTGGAGAAAAATCTCCCAATTTGACAATACCTGTTGTTGATCATAGGTTAATTGTAAAATTCTTATATTAGTCAGCTTGTTTGTACATTTGCAATATGATTGAAAAATAAATATCCGTCCATATTAGATAAAATGTACTTGCTATGCATGTCAGTGAATTTAGTATGTGAATCTCTGTTATAATGTTATGATTACAGCTTGCCTGGTCCTTAGGGCCTTGAGATCTACATTGTACATATGCTGTGGTGTATTGTCTGTCATTTATAAAACTTTTAATTAAAGAAAGCTACTAGTTCCGAGCAACTGGATTGATTTTTTACAAATTAAGTCAGCGGCATGGGGGCACAGTTTTAGGATGAGAGGGAGTTCCTTATCCCTTTAGAGTGGACAGGTCAATTGGAGAAAAATTCAGAAACTCCATCTCCTTTGGTAATAGAGGAGGTGTGATTAAAACCAATTCCGATATGATGATAATTGGTTAGGTCAATCGTATTTATTTCCCTCCATACATAGGAATTGTGCAAACATCATTTTTGGATAATAGATTATTTCATATTTGGGATGTTGAGATTGGTCTAAGGATCAGATCCCATCCCGGGGACATTACTCTCGGGCCGTCATACTAACATCTGTATCAAATCTGATTTTGTAGTTGTAGAATATATTGCTTACCAGGCAAAAGAGCACTGCCCGAAAAGGAAAAAAAACATACCAATATTTCGTCTCTGAACTGTTTGAATGGATTGCATTTTAGCAAGCTATGGAGAGTGTATGACATTAGATAATGATGTAGGAGGGATATTGTCACCTTTGGTATCGGGAGAGTATGTTGGGGAAATCATTATAATAATATTAATGACAAGATATGTTATCACTGTTTACAATTCCAGGTTAGTGATGTGGGCCCTTTGGGCCTCTTTCTTTTTTCGATATGATTTAATAAACTCTGTCATTCCTAAATGCCGGCAAAACGGAATGTTTTTGTTGTTGTTTTCTTCAAATTATAAAACAAGAGCAACAGTGACACGGAAAGTGTCTGAGTTATATATGTCAAATAATTAATCTCCGTCACCTACATCTACACAACATTGGTCTACAATTTACATCCAAAATCAGTCCCGCAGGAAGTGATTCAAAGTGTGTCAGCGCATTGTCGGGAAAATGTCATGCACCTTATTTTTACATTAGTCTTCACGTTGACCAAATTATAGCGATATAGAACAAGTATGTTATTGTCATAGAGGTGGTAGCTTAATGTGTAATAACCTTGGGCCTGTGCTTTCATTATGATGGATTTGTGGAAATGTGAATGTCTGGCAGCATAGTCACTTGTGTTAAATGTTAAATGTGAAAAACATTCCTAACTTCTCATCAGTACATAAAACGAACGAAACAATAAAGCCCGAAATTGACTTAAGTTAAGAAAACTTTTATACATCGCTTTTATATTTCCAAGTCAGTTAAAACGTTGCAACTCTCGACAGCTTCGTTTAAGGGCATACAAGGGTACTATCGAGGTAGAAACAGTCTGCTTGCTCCATATAACCATTTTCAAACAGTGTCGGAATCATTCCACGAGTGTGCTCGAAAACGGTCTGAAATTGTTTGTGTGATTTCAACGCAATTCTCTTCTACATCGTCTGCAATTTAACAGTGACGTTTACGCCGTCGACAATGGTGTCATGTACACGGTTTAAATATGTCACTGTTTGGCAGTAGGCGTGTGTAATGGCTAGTCTTGTGGCCGATGGCCGGCGATTTGTCAGTTATGGTTGAGGAAGTTGGTTATAGTGTGGAACTCGTTTACTCCATCTCTATCCTATCCCCGTTCTCCCACTATCTACTGTCACTTAGTTCTTTCTCCTTTGTAATCACTCTAGATACCTTGCCAAGTCCTCCGATTTCACGATAAATCGATCATTTCTCGTCTCTACACGATATTCACGTGTACGTAGTACTTGGTCAATCTGATGTACCCTTCACCTTGGTCTTACCAGTAAGTTGTATGATAACTCAAGTTTCCCTACACGATGTGTTGGATTCCACGAGACTGTACCATGATATTTTTCCCTGGATAGATGTGATATTGGATATGATGTGTGCAAAAAAGCTTTCCTACAATTAAACATTAGTTATATATCTTTAGGCTGACACATCCGATTGGTGAAGGCTTTTCTGTAACTATTTCATTCATTCATGTTTTTACTCCACAACCGATTTTCTGTTAAAATTGAACCTTTTTCGCAAATCAGTATATATTCTAGCTCTCATAGCTCTTATTTAATACAAAATGCTCATATATTTTATATATTATTAATAATTTCATGAAATACACAATCAGTTGTTTGCAGTTTAATGTTGTGTTTTGGTGTAAGATTGTAAAATCGTACCCTGTACAGCCCCGCTATGTGCCCTACATTCAGTTAAATATTTTTCAGTAATTTTCATGCGTCAATGAACATCCTCGTTTCAAACTGACCGATTTTATTTCGGTAGGATACCAGTTTAGCTGCGTGGTGTATAACGAAATGGTGATTGCTAAGAAATGGGTGTTAGTAAGAGAGTTTGTAGGAAAACCAAAGAACGGCGACTTTTCTCTGGAAGAAGAAATATTACCAGACGAGGTCAATGATGGAGGTATGTTTCTAAAATGAACCACAGTGTTTATGAGATCTAGACACACCTGACTACATCTGCCCTTCTTATTACTGTGATAGGACGAGTTATTCCCCTTGTCACTTAGCTAAGTGGTACTCTTTAATTGACTTTACCATCATCAGTTTAAACATCCTAACTTCATTTATGATCATCCGTCATGAAGTCTTGACATTTTAAGTAAATGAAAGTCCTTGTCATTTTGTGAGACAATATCATAACGGAATATTATCACAAAAATGTACACCATGAATTGTCTGTCATCTTGTTAATGATATATAAGCCCATTAATTAGCTTCCAGCATTATTTCACGACACTCTGACCCCATTAATTGACTATCGTCGTAGATCCATGCGCACAATTAATTAACCACTATCATCAGCTCAAGCTCAAGTTCTTAATATATATGTCATTTATTCACTGTCATCATCATCATTCTCGCCCAAAATGTATTATTAATTTCAGAGGTGCTGTGTGAGGCGTTATACCTGTCTGTGGATCCTTACGTGAGGTGGGATGATGTAGACTTCATGCTTGGTCTACCTACTGTACGATATGTTGTTTATCACGTACAAATATTTACTCTGACGTAGATTGACGTAAAGTCATGTGAATGTACGAAGACAATATTTTCATCTCGGTCGCAGTCGATATGAGGCCGACAAAAAGATTCTTCTATAGTCTTGGTTTGTGTGCTGATAAACCAATAGTTACATGATGCTTTATAGTTTTATCAATGTTATGAAGTTACTTCAGGTATCTGACATTAATTACCTACAACACTGTGAGTCTGTGATGTTGTTTCATTCGTTCATTGGCTCTATTTTATCTTATCTAAATTTTTAATCAAATGGTAATTCCACTTGTGTGACTCTTGTACAATCTTTTATATAATACATCTGTTTTCTTGTGTCATCTGTTTTCTTTTGTCACATGTTTTCTTGTGTCATCTGTTTTCTTGTGTCACCTGTTTTCTTGTGTCATCTATTTTCTTGTGTCATCTGTTTTCTTGTGTCATCTATTTTCTTGTGTCATCTGTTTTCTTGTGTCAGCTGTTTTCTTGTGTCATCTATTTTCTTGTGTCATCTGTTTTCTTGTGTCATCTGTTTTCTTGTGTCAGCTGTTTTCTTGTGTCATCTATTTTCTTGTGTCATCTGTTTTCTTGTGTCATCTGTTTTCTTGTGTCATCTGTTTTCTTGTGTCACCTGTTTTCTTGTGTCATCTGTTTTCTTGTGTCATTTGTTTTCTTGTTTCAGCTGTTTTCTTGTGTGATTTGTTTTCTTTTGTCATTTGTTTTCTTGTTTCAGCTGTTTTCTTGTGTCATCTGTTTTCTTGTGTCACCTGTTTTCTTGTGTCATCTATTTTCTTGTGTCATCTGTTTTCTTGTGTCATTTGTTTTCTTGTGTCATCTGTTTTCTTGTTTTCTTGTGTCATCTATTTTCTTGTGTCATCTGTTTTCTTGTGTCATCTGTTTTCTTGTGTCATCTGTTTTCTCGGTGACTTCGATTTGCTGATATTTCATCCATTAGATCATGTTTGTTTAAAAACTTAAAGTATTAATTTGCATCTTACAGGTTCTTGTGTAATGTGATGATGAAGCCAGGAGACACTGTGGTCGGGGAACAGATCGCCAGGCAAGTCAACACAGCTTTAAAAATACGTCCGAATTCAAATGCAGATCTCATAAATGAAACTGACAAGTCATTCCTATTTAAAGACTTTCTCACAGATGTAGGAGCATCCCCTAAGTGTTTATGGGCATGTTGAAATGAATTTACCGAGGTGAACTTACTTTCACTGGAAGTAATTGTCATAATTACTTATTAATTAATAGACCCATTACCATGACGATTAATCAGTGACATGCTACATATGTCATGAACGGATACATAATTTCTTTAAAAAAGTAACCTTGATTCAGTTCAAGGTCACAAGAGTGAAACGTTTTTAAATCCTTCGTCGACTTCTGTTGACTGACAAAGTGTCTAAATGAGGTGATGTACCATGTCCATGTAGACTGCTGGCATGGAGAGTTTAAAAAAGACAAGAAAATACCGACCTATGTACAGTATGGATGAAAACGAAATGAATACTGGGAAAGTAAGACCGGGTGTTCCGAAATAGTAAGCGACTTGTGCTTCATCAACGACACCCACTATGTGAATGTTGTTCAGTGCAAGTAAACAATGCCACGTTCTAATATGCGAGCAGAATTAACAACAAAGTAACCAATAAACAAAATAACGATCATCGAACACATAAATCTAAGGAGATGATTATAACGGCCATAAAACGTCGGCGTAGTATTCATCAAACCAGCATAGCTAAAAGCTATGGACATCGTACACGGATATTGTGATATAACGAGGAAGTAACTGTGACCGGAGACGTTGAAAACATAACAACATATAACATTATAAGAACCCTTATGTACTCTAAAAATTTAAGTGTTTAACGTTAAGTCTTTTTTTGAGTATCGAAATTCCATCTGATTTTCACGGAACTTTGATGCAAAACTAGCGAATGCTACTGATAAATAATGTTTGCTTACGTTTTCGACAATTCATCATGTACATATTTGTTTTGCTTTTAGATTTGTTTACAACCGGAAACATGCCATGTCGGTATCATAAATGTTCTGAATTACTCAAGCATTTATCACCTGCAACATAAAATAAAAACTCATTGAAATATCACTTTAGTATGAACAATTACATTAACTGGCAATAACCGCGAACAAAGAAGAAAATTGTCATGCTTAACGTTAACGGTTTAACGAAACCAGTTAAATTTACCTCAATGTTTAGTACACATAACAGACATGGAATAATGGAAAAGTTGATAGATAAGTAGAGAATAAAAGAAAAAAGACGTCAATCCTTCGCTACATAAGTCAATATTGAACTGGAGTTCGGAAGGGAAGACCATCTGTCACAGAATTTAACAATGTTATCCTATATACATAAACTTAATCGTCACTTTCTTCATGGACAAAAAGTACACGCACAAATAGTCCGTTCAATCAATATATCATACTGCATTATTATCAATGACTTAATTACATTATGCAGATGTCACCATCATAGTGACGGATATAAGATGAAAGATTATTATAAAGCATGTGGTGCCATGAACGTGTACCCTGGTATTTAGTCCGAAGGGTTTTGTCTACCTGTCTATCGCGGAGAGATAGTCGGAACCATTCGGTCTTCCTTGGATTTTAGATATTTTCATGTTGATCCATGGACTTGAAGTAAATGTTTGTGTACTTCAGGGTTACCACCAGTAAAAACCTTAAATACTCAGTCGGTGATGTCATACGTCTGTCGTCCGGATGGCGGTCACACACTCTCGTCACGGACGTATCACAGATAGAAGCCATGCCTGATCTGGGTGATCTCCCTTTATCAGTGGTTCTCGGAGCGGCGGGGGTAACCGGGTAAGTCTCACTGTCCCTCCGGCTCGCGGGGGCGACTGGGTAAGTCTCACTGTCACTCCGGGCCGCGGTTGTGATTGGGTAAGTCTCACTCTCCGTCTGGGCCGAGGGGGGTGACTGGGTAAACCTCACTGTCCCGCCACAATGCGGGGATGATAGGGTAAGTGTTACTGGGTATTTTCTGGGTCGCGGAGGTGACTGAGCAAATGCTACTGTCCATCTTGACCACGGAAGTGACTTGATAAGTCTTACTGTCCCCCTGGTCTTCTTAAAAGCAAAATGACTTGAGAATTCCCTGAAAGTATTGGTTTCTCCCTTAACCACAGATTAATAGCAATAGTTTGAAAATAACTGTAAGATTCATGCCTTTTATGAAATATGTTCTATTATTTTCTGTTTCTGAAGAATATATATATTTTGATATCTATATGGTTATTTTCTGCATCATGAAATGGCAGTTTCCATATTCAGGTTGACCGCGTTCTTCGGCCTTGAGGACAAGCTGCAGCCTCTAGAGGGAGAGACATTGCTTGTGAATTCGGCTGCCGGAGCTGTAGGCAGCGTAGCCGGACAGATCGCTAAAATGAAAGTTAGTCATTGAATTTATGCATTTCAAACCTTCATGTTTTCAGTATTTGAAAATGTTTTGAAATGGTTTCTTCAAAATGTATTGAATAAATCGGATCCTAAATTGCAACGCGGCTACACGTGTAACAACGGAGAAATTTTGGGCATTAAATAAGACCATCACGTGACTTTCAACACACCATAGAGACATTATTTACCTGAAGATTTGTTTTGCATGTCTTTCAGTAGCATGGCTGTCAGTGTTGGCCGCCTGGAAGTCTGTTTGAATACCATAGAATGTTAGAGCGTTTGAGTATCAGCGTTTTATATAGGAGTATCAATAGATCACTGCATTGCTATGTACTGTCTGTGCGTCTTGTTTGACAGGGTTGTACCGTGATCGGATTCGCGGGGACAGACGATAAAGTGGAATGGCTGAAGGAACTTGGATTTGACCATGCCTTCAATTATAAGAAAGTCGATGTAGATGATGCTGTATCCATGGCAGCACCTAACGGCGTCCATTGTTACTTTGACAACGTAAGACTCTTAGAGAGATCAACCAAGATTTCTACCTGAGCATAAATGTCTATAGTTACAGGCATATAACGATTGTCAACAACTCTGAACTACGGTCACAGCAGAGTATTCGCATCCAAATTCACCATAGAGATATTTTGAACTTGTTCAAAACTTTTTGGCTATTTACGTGCAAATCACACGTTTTTTAAAAGTTAAAAAAAGTTTATGAGTAGAAGTACAGAGAAACATGTTTAACTACTATTGATAACTTTGATCATCCTTCACTAAACATTACTACGTACGAGAGATGTGGCTTTTAATCGAGTGGGGACGAAGAGTGAGTATTCTGACTAAGCACTCATACTCTTTATAGCATGTTACTGACTCTAACCGGATTTCGACTCGGTATAACACGTTACTGACCGGATTTCGACTCGGTATAACACGTTACTGACTCTGACCGGATTTCGACTCGGTATAACACGTTACTGACTCTGACCGGATTTCGACTCGGTATAACACGTTACTGACTCTGTTTACCGAACATTCCGTTGATAAAGCGGAACACACGTACTCCATTTCGAACACCAAAACTTGTCCTTGTAATTTTCTCTTCATTTCTTTGTGTTCATTGACAGTCACCCTCTGTCTTAGTTATGTCAATCTAAATCTATATTTACGGCTATTTTGTATATCATATTTGTTTATGTTCTTTTATACATTGTCGTTATGTTACAGGTAGGCGGATATTTAAGTACCCAGATTCTCCCACACATGCACAGGGGTGGACGTGTACTCATCGTCGGAAGTATTGCCACCTACAACGATATCGGAAAATCAACAGGTATTGCTTTTGATAATTTCATTTTGAGTTTTTGATTTAAATATTCTACAATGTATCGAGTAGGACCAGTGCGAGTTGGGCACACGTTTTCCAATTCATATGAGGATATTTCCTAATGATCCCTTTGATAGGAACTATTCATCCCAAACTTTGTACCTGAGTTTTCCAACAAACGAGATCACTCTCAAACTTTGGTCATAAGTTGCTCTCAAGTTGACATATCAACGAGTTAACCAGAGGTCAGTCTTTATTGTGAATATAAACCATATATAAATCATCCATCGAAAACAAAACAGACATGTTTAAGTTTACAACAACTTTCGGTATCCATAACTTTAACACAACGTGATACAATGAAATGACAAGGATTATACACCTATATATCATACTCGCTACATGAAGTTATATCCTTCTTAAGGTAGACATGCCTCACATGTCAAAGCAGTTGTAAGCACACCTCTTTCCGTTTCAGGACCATATCCATTTGAGGACATCCTTAAAAAGTGTGTGAATGTTAACGGCTTTTCCATCTACGATATGTATCAGAAATGGCGGTATGGGGAAGTGCATTTGGTGAAGTTGTTACAACAGGTGAGACAAGAGATGTCTTTGTGAAGAAATGATTTACATCAGTAGTATAGATTAGTAATAATACTGCACATTTCTTGTTTGTGAAGTTTTAAGATGCACCACACGATACTGCACATTTTGACGAAGATTGTGATATAATTTTAACCACAGTCAAACTATTTCAAACATTTTTATTACCTCGGAATGTTTGTGTTAAACCTTCACCATGATTTTACAGGGGAAACTGCGACACCGAGAGACAATAACAGAGGGATTCGAACTCATGCCTAGTGCTTTCATTGGACTGTTTGAGGGTACTTGCACTGGAAAGGCCCTTGTCAAAGCATAGCTATGTTCACTATTTTCAACTCACAGTAAAGGGTGTTGAAACTAGTTTTGCCCCGGAAAATTGTTGATTTTAAAATCGTATCACAATATGGAATGAGGCACTCGCTTCTAAAACATCAAAATTGTACTTACTTTAAACGTTTTTGATTTTTGATACATGAACTTTCATATTCAATGCCATTCTATAGTTAGATATGTTTTGGCAACAGAATTTCTCAAATTGACTTTGAACATTTGATATATATATTTTTATATAAACATGGATATGATCCGATTCACAAGGTGAACACCTTACTCGTGATAATCTTTGAGAGGTGAAGTTTTCTTGTATAAGTTCTATGAATCAATTCGTTCGCACATTGACCTGTCTTTCAAGATACCGTCAACAAACATGAAAATAGAATAAAATGTTTTTACAAAAGATATCTTATCAACGTATTAGTTATTGTGTTTATGCTATATTTCCAGATGTAAAACAGGGCTGTTATATATTAAAACGTAGCATTATTGGGATTGTTAAAATTTACAAGTAATGTACAACATAGTTTTTATCATCATATATATAACATTAAATGATTTTGTACATTCATTATTATCGTCAGTGTGTTGGGTTTTATTTCTGAACATATTCAATTATTCGATGAAGGGAACAAAATCGCTTAAAGTATCAAATTTACATAGATCAATATAACACATATACAAAACAAGCTTATCGTGGTCGATATCAGTATATATAACAGAATACCAGCTGGTGTAATGATTAACGTGTTATCTATATCGGAGTCGATATCAGTATATATAACAGAATACCAGCTGGTGTAATGATTAACGTGTTATCTATATCGGAGTCGATATCAGTATATATAACAGAATACCAGCTGGTGTAATGATTAACGTGTTATCTATATAGAGGTCGATATCAGTATATATAACAGAATACCAGCTGGTGTAATATCAGTATATATAACAGAAAACCAGCTGGTGTAATATCAGTATATATAACAGAATACCAGCTGTTGTAATGATTAACGTGTTATCTATATAGAAGTCGATATCAGTATATATAACAGAATACCAGCTGGTGTAATGATTAACGTGTTATCTATATCGGAGTCGATATCAGTATATATAACAGAATACCAGCTGGTGTAATGATTAACGTGTTATCTATATCGGAGTCGATATCAGTATATATAACAGAATACCAGCTGGTGTAATGATTAACGTGTTATCTACAATCAATATCGGAGTCGATATCAGTATATATAACAGAATACCAGCTGGTGTAATGATTAACGTGTTATCTATATCGGAGTCGATATCAGTATATATAACAGAATACCAGCTGGTGTAATGATTAACGTGTTATCTACAATCAATATCGGAGTCGATATCAGTATATATAACAGAATACCAGCTGGTGTAATGATTAACGTGTTATCTATATAGAAGTCGATATCAGTATATATAACAGAATACCAGCTGGTGTAATGATTAACGTGTTATCTACAATCAATATCGGAGTCGATATCAGTATATATAACAGAATACCAGCTGGTGTAATGATTAACGTGTTATCTATATCGGAGTCGATATCAGTATATATAACAGAATACCAGCTGGTGTAATGATTAACGTGTTATCTATATCGAGGTCGATATCAGTATATATAACAGAATACCAGCTGGTGTAATGATTAACGTGTTATCTATATCGAGGTCGATATCAGAATATATAACAGAATACCAGCTGTGTAATGATTAACGTGTTATCTATATCGAGGTCGATATCAGAATATATAACAGAATACCAGCTGGTGTAATGATTAACGTGTTATCTATATCGAGGTCGATATCAGTATATATAACAGAATACCAGCTGGTGTAATGATTAACGTGTTATCAATATCGAGGTCGATATCAGTATATATAACAGAATACCAGCTGGTGTAATGATTAACGTGTTATCTATATCGGAGTCGATATCAGTATATATAACAGAATACCAGCTGGTGTAATGATTAACGTGTTATCTATATCGGAGTCGATATCAGTATATATAACAGAATACCAGCTGGTGTAATGATTAACGTGTTATCTATATCGGAGTCGATATCAGTATATATAACAGAATACCAGCTGGTGTAATGATTAACGTGTTATCTATATCGGAGTCGATATCAGTATATATAACAGAATACCAGCTGGTGTAATGATTAACGTGTTATCTATATCGGAGTCGATATCAGTATATATAACAGAATACCAGCTGGTGTAATGATTAACGTGTTATCTATATCGGAGTCGATATCAGTATATATAACAGAATACCAGCTGGTGTAATGATTCACGTACTGTCAATTTTCTACATATTAAATCATTTGTTATTGTTAAACAGTATAATATCCTTTTAAAATCCTTTGTTAAGTTAGGTTATCCTTTTTAATTCAGTTTAGGGCTGATGTCTATTGTCAAACAGTGTTATATCCTTCTCAAATCCTTTGTTAAGTTAGGTTATCCTTTTTAATTCAGTTTAGGGCTGATGTCTATTGTCAAACAGTGTTATATCCTTCTCAAATCCTTTGTTAAGTTAGGTTACCCTTTTAAAAGTTTGATAAAACATATTGAAGATTGATATCCCTTACTGAACTTACTTTAGATATACGGTAAATATATGGGAACACTTTTTCCCCGGATGAAGTTCTTGATAATGTACTACTACAAAAATCACTAAACTATTGTCGTTACAAATCTTTAATTCAATAACAATCACATATTGCAGTCTATGAGCAACTTACTGACAGCAAATGTACAACTATCAAACACCATATACCTAATATCTCGCTGAAATCTCGCTGAAATCTCGTTCAGTCTTGGATTTTGACAACTATTTTTCCTACGTTTCCGCCTTGAAACAATTTCAAAAATGCTTCCGGTACTTTATCGAATCCATCATATATCAATTCCTTGCTCCGAAGTTTTCCCTGAAATCAATATAGAATAATCATCAAAACATTTACAGAAAGTTACTTCCAAATCTACATACAATTTGGTTTTATCTCTGTGATATCTAATGAGACGTATTTATGAGCAGGGCGGCTCTGTTAAGTTTTACGTCGGCATCGCTCATCTAGGAAGACTTTATTACGTCAACATGGTTAAATCATGACAACTTTATTACATCATTATGTTCATTTAGGACAACTTTATTACGTCAGTATGTTCATTTAGGACAACTTTATTACGTCAGTATGTTCATTTAGGACAACTTTATTACGTCAGTACGTTCATTTAGGACAACTTTATTACGTCAGTACGTTCATTTAGGACAACTTTATTACGTCAGTACGTTCATTTAGGACAACTTTATTACGTCAGTACGTTCATTTAGGACAACTTTATTACGTCAGTACGTTCATTTAGGACAACTTTATTACGTCAGTACGTTCATTTAGGACAACTTTATTACGTCAGTACGTTCATTTAGGACAACTTTATTACGTCAGTACGTTCATTTAGGACAACTTTATTACGTCAGTATGTTCATTTAGGACAACTTTATTACGTCAGTATGGCTCATTTAGGACAATAACTAGATTATACAGGGCGTGTGATGGTCCTTACCTCTTTAGATAGACTATACAGGGTTTTAATGGTCCCTACCTCTTTGACTAGACTATACAAGATATGTGATGGTCCTTACCTCTTTGACTAAGCTATACAGAGCCTTGTATCCTACATCCCAGTCACTAAACCATTTGATGACGTTGAAGCCTTGTACGGTCAGCTGTCTCGCAACTATAGCTCGATAGATGGACAGTCCTGTACAAAATAATCATATAACAACAAAGTAGCAATACAGCAAGAACAAGTGTTTATAAAGCAGGCGTTATCATCTGATGGATGAAACATAAGGTTATTTACAATCAAAATACAAACGATATTTTTGCTGCGTGAAAATACTACGTTTTGATATTGCATTGTAAATAACAATCTTCCTAGAGTATACTGCGGACTTACAGCGTGATAACACAACAAGATACAACCCTGTGAAATAGCAAGAAACTCGCTTCACTATAAAGTATTGATTTTAGTTAATCAATGTAATTACTATCATTATGTTAATTAGTTTGAAGATCGGTTTCTTTGATGTGAAGCTAAATATAGACAGAGAGGCAAATTCAATCTGAAAGGTGCGAACAATTGTTATAGAATGATTATTCATTGTATCTTGATGACTACAATTGATATCTCTCGGAAAATAAGAGTGTCATTTTGTTTTCTTTTTGAATGCTATAAACTGCTGAAACAAAATGACAATCACAATGGGTGTGTTCTGTGCAACTCAACAGTTTTGCGGGATGCAGGTTGATGAGTATGAGGAAATTTAAAGGCCTTTTCAAGACGTTTAATCACTTTGTCTTATTTGACATTTACTTTTCCATTTGTTGCCCCTGTTTACGAGATTCCGTCAACTTGTCGGTAAATTTTTACTTTTCCATATGTTGCCCCTGTTTCCGTTAATTTGTCGGTAAATTTTGACTTTTCCATATGTTGCCCCTGTTTCCGAGATTCCGTCAACTTGTCGGTAAATTTTTACTTTTCCATATGTTGCCCCTGTTTCCGTTAATTTGTCGGTAAATTTTTACTTTTCCATATGTTGCCCCTGTTTCCGAGATTCCGTCAACTTGTCGGTAAATTTTTACTTTTCCATATGTTGCCCCTGTTTCCGTTAATTTGTCGGTAAATTTTTACTTTTCCATATGTTGCCCCTGTTTCCGTTAATTTGTCGGTAAATTTTTACTTTTCCATATGTTGCCCCTGTTTCCGAGATTCCGTCAACTTGTCGGTAAATGTTAACTTTTCCATATGTTGCCCCTGTTTCCGAGATTCCGTCAACTTGTCGGTAAATCTTTACTTTTCCATATGTTGCCCCTGTTTCCGTTAATTTGTCGGTAAATTTTTACTTTTCCATATGTTGCCCCTGTTTCCGAGATTCCGTCAACTTGTCGGTAAATTTTTACTTTTCCATATGTTGCCCCTGTTTCAGTTAATTTGTCGGTAAATTTTTACTTTTCCATATGTTGCCCCTGTTTCCATTAATTTGTCGGTAAATTTTTACTTTTCCATATGTTGCCCCTGTTTCCGAGATTCCGTCAACTTGTCGGTAAATGTTTACTTTTCCATATGTTGCCCCTGTTTCCGTTAATTTGTCGGTAAATTTTTACTTTTCCATATGTTGCCCCTGTTTACGAGATTCCGTTAACTTGTCGGTAAGTGTTTACTTTTCCATGTGTTGCCACTGTTTCCGAGATTCTGTTAACTTGTCGGTAAATTTTTACTTTTCCTTATGTTGCCCCTGTTTACGAGATTCCGTTAACTTGCCGGTAAATGTTTACTTTTCCATGTGTTGCCTCTGTTTCCGAGATTCCGTTAACTTGCCGGTAAATGTTTACTTTTCCATGTGTTGCCTCTGTTTCCGAGATTCCGTTAACTTGCCGGTTAATGTTTACTTTTCCATGTGTTGCCTCTGTTTCCGAGATTCCGTTAACTTGCCGGTAAATGTTTACTTTTCCTTATGTTGCCCCTGTTTACGAGATTCCGTTAACTTGTCGGTAAATTTTTACCTTTCCTTATGTTGCCTCTGTTTCCGAGATTCCGTTAACTTGCCGGTTAATGCTTACTTTTCCATGTGTTGCCTCTGTTTCCGAGATTCCGTTAACTTGCCGGTAAATTTTTACTTTTCCATATGTTGCCTCTGTTTACGAGATTACGTTAACTTGCCGGTAAATGCTTACTTTTCCGTGTGTTGCCTCTGTTTCCGAGATTCCGTTAACTTGCCGGTAAATGTTTACTTTTCCATGTGTTGCCTCTGTTTCCGAGATTCCGTTAACTTGCCGGTAAATGTTTACTTTTCCATGTGTTGCCTCTGTTTCCGAGATTCCGTTAACTTGTCGGTAAATTTTTACTTTTCCATATGTTGCCCCTGTTTCCGTTAATTTGTCGGTAAATTTTTACTTTTCCATATGTTGCCCCTGTTTCCGTTAATTTGTCGGTAAATTTTTACTTTTCCATATGTTGCCCCTGTTTCCGAGATTCCGTCAACTTGTCGGTAAAAGTTTACTTTTCCATATGTTGCCCCTGTTTCCGTTAATTTGTCGGTAAATTTTTACTTTTCCATATGTTGCCCCTGTTTCCGAGATTCCGTCAACTTGTCGGTAAATTTTTACTTTTCCATATGTTGCCCCTGTTTCCGAGATTCCGTCAACTTGTCGGTAAATTTTTACTTTTCCATATGTTGCCCCTGTTTCCGTTAATTTGTCGGTAAATTTTGACTTTTCCATATGTTGCCCCTGTTTCCGAGATTCCGTCAACTTGTCGGTAAAAGTTTACTTTTCCATATGTTGCCCCTGTTTACGAGATTCCGTTAACTTGTTGGTAAATTTTTACTTTTCCTTATGTTGCCCCTGTTTACGAGATTCCGTTTACTTGCCGGTAAATGTTTACTTTTCCATGTGTTGCCTCTGTTTCCGAGATTCCGTTAACTTGCCGGTAAATGTTTACTTTTCCATGTGTTGCCTCTGTTTCCGAGATTCCGTTAACTTGCCGGTTAATGTTTACTTTTCCATGTGTTGCCTCTGTTTCCGAGATTCCGTTAACTTGCCGGTAAATGTTTACTTTTCCTTATGTTGCCCCTGTTTACGAGATTCCGTTAACTTGTCGGTAAATTTTTACTTTTCCTTATGTTGCCCCTGTTTCCGAGATTCCGTTAACTTGCCGGTAAATGCTTACTTTTCCATGTGTTGCCTCTGTTTCCGTTAACTTGCCGGTAAATTTTGACTTTTCCATATGTTGCCCCTGTTTCCGAGATTCCGTTAACTTGTCAGTAAGTGTTTACTTTTCCATGTGTTGCCTCTGTTTCCGAGATTCCGTTAACTTGCCGGTAAATGTTTACTTTTCCATGTGTTGCCTCTGTTTCCGAGATTCCGTTAACTTGCCGGTAAATGTTTACTTTTCCATATGTTGCCCCTGTTTACGAGATTCCGTTAACTTGTCGGTAAATTTTTACTTTTCCTTATGTTGCCTCTGTTTCCGAGATTCCGTTAACTTGCCGGTAAATTTTGACTTTTCCATATGTTGCCCCTGTTTCCGAGATTCCGTTAACTTGCCGGTAAGTGTTTACTTTTCCATATGTTGCCCCTGTTTCCGTTAACTTGTCGGTAAGTGTTTACTTTCCCATGTGTTGCCTCTGTTTCCGAGATTCCGTTAACTTGCCGGTAAATGTTTACTTTTCCATATGTTGCCCCTGTTTACGAGATTCCGTTAACTTGTCGATAAATTTTTACTTTTCCTTATGTTGCCTCTGTTTCCGAGATTCCGTTAACTTGCCGGTTAATGCTTACTTTTCCATGTGTTGCCTCTGTTTCCGTTAACTTGTCGGTGAATTTTGACTTTTCCATATGTTGCCTCTGTTTCCGAGATTCCGTTAACTTGTCAGTAAGTGTTTACTTTTCCATATGTTGCCCCTGTTTCCGAGATTCCGTCAACTTGTCGGTAAATTTTTACTTTTCCATATGTTGCCCTTGTGTTATTCTAATGGTACTTTTTCAGAAGTTTCCGTATGCATCATTCTTATGTTCTTTATGTCTGGTATAACAGGAAAAGCCAGACAAACACCGATAACCTCGGGTTGGAAATGTCTTATCACATCCTACTGGAAAAGGTTGATAGGACTGGATATTGTGCATTGATAAATGAAATAAGGTGCAGTGTGAATGTATCTCTTAATAAAGAAAATACTGTGTAACAACTGACCTTGGGAGGGATGGTGTATATCATCACAATAAAGTGATATAGCCCCGCATAAAGCAGCACGTCCACCGACTGACATTTGACAAATCACAGCCCCGGCCAGATCACCACCGACCTGTAAATATTCATAAGAAAGCATAGTGTTTAATTAAGTACACAGTACATGACATTTTACACAATTCCCGCAAGATCACCGCCGACCTGTCAAAATGTGTACTACAGTCAAGTGTTAGGTTAGTACACTGCCCCAACCATATCACCGCCGACCTGTCAAAATGTGCTAGGTCAATCACAGGCTCGGCCATGTATATATAGTCGCCGATCATTATAACTTGTTACAAATTATCACATTAAACTAGTACACAACCTCGAAAATATCGGTCAGTATTTCGCAGCCCCGAACTTATCGACTCCGACTTGTCAGTATTACACCAACCTTGACGCAGACATTTCAGTAATACACCGACCCGGACATAACTACGCAAACCTGTCAATGTAGCCCCACAGACCCCGGTATATCGACGCAGATCTGTCAGTATTACACCGACCAAGAAATATCGACGCAGACCGGTCAGTATTACACCGACCAAGAAATATCGACGCAGACCGGTCAGTATAACACCGACCCGGACATATCGACGCAGACCTGTCAGTATTACACCGACCAAGAAATATCGATGCAGACCGGTCAGTATTACACCGACCCGGACATATCGACGCAGACCTGTCAGTATTACACCGACCCAGACATATCGACGCAGACCTGTCAGTATTACACCGACCAAGAAATATCGACGCAGACCGGTCAGTATTACACCGACCAAGAAATAGCCGAGAAGTAAGATATAGGCACTGTTCGGAAAGTCCCGGAAAGATCACCACATATAATATCGATGAATCCAAACGTGAAAGAAAGACTTTATTGAGTCCTCAAATTTTGCTTCTTGATGTACTGATGATATTTTACCAGTAAATAACAATATACTGATTATCCATGTCCCTCAAAATTCACCGACTTAGCCGGTTTCCTCGACCGTTACCTAAACTCCACATTAAGGAAAACTTTCCTTCAAACTGTATATATGACCGAGACCTTTCTAGACCCTTTTTTCTCTTGTAACCTTTCATTTGTTTATAATTTGCTGCCCCTTTATCGATGTTGTGTTTGAATTCAGATTTTATCAACATAGCTGTATTTGTTGTACATGTAGTTGTTTTCTAACTGTGGTTTCGATACAACAGAATTAATTCCAGACCTCAACCCCCATAACAGCGTAGTTAGGACCACTAAAAACATTTAACTTAACTGTTCAAAGTTACCGACTCAAATTAACAGTGTGAAATAAGCAACTCCTGTTTAGGCTTAATAATCTGAGTTAGAATAATTATATTTTATACTCTATTGTTTCTAAAAGATACACACTAGGAATTGTTTCATACAACACCGTACTATACAACACCGTACTATACAATTAACTTGTAGAATTAATAGGGTACTGTGTTTGTAGAAAAATAATCGTACGTTGTCAAAGAAACAGTTCACTCCGCTTGGCGCTGTCTCCCTGAGTTTTTCACCGACGTCATCAGTTTTGTAATTAATAGCGACATCCATTCCCAGCTCCTCGGTAATCCAGCGACTTTTTTCATCGCTCCCACAGATTCCGATCACTTTACACCCCTTTAAATAAACAAGATATTTCAGAGAAACACAAAACATGCAAATATTCGGGTATGAGTGAGAAACTAGATAATGCAGATTCCGCTGCTAATACACGATATGTACCATGTCCTATCACTTGTTTATAGAAATGAATCACATAATTAATTTGAACCAAAAGCGCCATCTGACGGCATACAACATACAATAACATTTCGGTAAAATATTTTCGCAATTAAACAACAATGTGCTTTGAAAGTGCGTTGCTTTAAAAAGGAGATTTTTTCAAATAAAAAAAATACCGCTGCTTTGGCCATCTGACCTGCGACACTACCCACTGCTCCTCCCGCCGACGTCACGACGACAATGTCTCCTGATTTTGGCTTACACACATTCGTCATACCGTAGTAGGCTGTAAGGCTGTCACATTCAAAACAGTTATTATCATATGTTGGTGGAGACATAATTATTACGTTGTCCGATAAACAGATCTTGTTAACACTTTTTTCGTATTGACTGTTACGGATCTTTTTTTTTTCGCGAAAAGAAATGATATGATGTACGACATTCAATCTCTATAACTAAATCTGTATGTTTTCAGGGAAGGAAAATACAAAACTTTCATACCCTGTAAGTCCTAGCATACCAAGAGCATTAGAAACCGGAAGATCCCCCATGACAGGTAGTTGTCGAAGTAACGTCATATCAGATACCCGTGTCAGTGTACGCCATCCTACATTTGCCAGCACCAGTGACTGAACAGGGAACTGTGGATTTTTACTCTTCAGAACCCTGTATTAATGACATTTGAGTCATTTTAATGTCACAAGACATGGTTGTATGTATATTCTGAAATGTTAGTGATATACGCAAGGAATCGTTAAAGAATAAAGCATATTTACATCTTACACAATTGAAGGCAAAATTAAGGTTTATCAATATGACTATATTTTGGGACAAAAGTAAGTATATTATGTAATGTGTTTGAAAGTTTGAATTTTCATCGCTCTTGTTTGACTTTAAAATATTAGTGTCGAAAAATTCAGAACGTAAATAAATTAATGTTGCAGCTAAAAATGTCCAGTTAAGTGAGGTGTTTTCTTATTTTTAGTTATAATGTCGTTTGCCTTTCCTGTTCAAAGGATTACCTGAAAGACACTCTAACTATCAAATATCTAAAACTCCGAGACTCTACCACACTACTTTTGCTGTATAGGAGAGGTTAGCGGCTCTCTGTAACAGACATATGGCGTTCTTCTCTTATCGTTGTGATAATGAGTTGTTTGTAGTAATATCGATACTACCACGCCCCTCATAAAGCAAATTAAACACTCTACAACACCTCGCTATCTGCTCAGCCATCATCATATCCCCCTCGGAGAGTGAGCGCTCTGCATACGGTCTGTAACATAGAATTTATCGTTAAGTGTGAAATAGTCTTACAGAACGTGAGGAGGTGACTGATGGATATGGATAACATTATTATATCGTGAATCGATGTCTACACTTTGTCACGACTGCTATTTTGTGTGTGATGTTTTGATGTTAACACTTTGTCAGGACTGATATTTTGTGTGTGATATTTTGTGTGTCTACACTTTGTCAGGACTGATATTTTGTGTGTGATGTTTTGATGTCTATACTCTGTCAGGACTGATATTTTGTGTGTTATGTTTTGATGTCTATACTCTGTCAGGACTGATATTTTGTGTGTTATGTTTTGATGTCTATACTCTGTCAGGACTGATATTTTGTGTGTTATGTTTTGATGTCTACACTTTGTCAGGACTGATATTTTGTGTGTGATGTTTTAATGTCTACACTTGGTCAGGACAGATATTTTGTGTGTGATGTTTTGACGACTACACTCTCTCAGGACATTTGAAAACAATATGCGTCTCGCCTCTTTTACTTGGTGAACAATTGAACCATCTAGTAATGAATATACATATAAACATTATGCACTACACAATAATTGCGAAGCAAGCTATCAGTTTATATTAATCGATCTTGTTGGGCAGCTGACCCCATACCTTTTTCACGTCCGTTTCGAACGGGAATCGAACCACGGACGGCTAGGTGAAAAGCGAGCGCGTTACCACTGGGCAACCTGACCTTCCATCTTGTAATAAACATGTCAATATTTAAACAGCTAGCACCGGTTGGTTCATGATCTTAGTTTCCTAAGAAACACAATCTCATTTGGCCCCCTCCCCCCCCCCACACCTCCCCCCGCCGCCCCTTTCTTCTGGTAAAATGATTAGATCTAAGCTTTATAATATGTTGTAACTTACTTCATATAGGGATCGACGCTAATATACACCGCTTCGCAAAGAACTTCTACAAAATAAAAACAAAACATGCACCTGATACACAGCTTGACAAAAAACGGAATAATCAGAAAGATGCGTGAATGGTATTTTTAATCGGTTAAAGATATTTTGAATCTATTTTTAACCAAAGTATTGAAGTATATTGGAGTGTCGACTGTCAGTATCTACAGAAAGATTAAATACATTGTCTTGGTCAGTGTCATGATGCTGGGAATAACAAAAATAAACAAATATAGTTCTCATTATGTGAATCATGGCAGTCTAGTTAAGAAAATTCACTTAGATGATCGCAATCTGCCATTAACATTTGTCATATAGTCAACATTTAGTCGTTTGGACAGCTATATCTTTCACTTTCAGTGCGAATGATTTTGATAAGGTTATATAGATGGTAGGTAAATCTCCATCAGATGTAAGTACCTGTCGTTAGGTTTTAATGGCATGGAATACAGGTAGCGTTTCGTTATAATATTTTAGTGTACAGTGTGTAAGATGACAATTCCCGGTACTGACAGCACAGGCATAAGCGAACATATGAAAACGAAATTAATTTTATCATAAAGGAAATCAGTTTCTAAAACATTCGCACCACAACAGGAAATATGCCTGTTTGTTTTCAGTGTGCCGACAATATCTGATGTCTACTTAGAAGTAATGATTTACCGGTCTATTTCCTACAGAGAGATATAACATGTGTTGGCACGTGTACAACATTAAAACCAATCAAAATACATCTAAATAACTCTATGTATATTTGAATAGCTGAAAAAGACACAACAGGAAATTAATAAACAATAGTACAACTCATACAGAAAAACCCTCAACACATTCAGTGTAAATGGATCTCGCATAGTTCAGTAAATTGATTCAATAATTTTCTAAAATTAACCAATAGATGAAAGTCAGCTTGCCAACTTTACACAACAAAAATGCCATCCGTTTAGGAATTTCATATCAGAGAAAAAATGGGGAATAATTCTAAACATAAATCTGAAAATTAAATGATAATGATAATTATGATAAGCAATAAATGAAAAAAGTAGAAAAAAATGTGTTTATATATATATATATATATTATATATCAGTATATGAGTATGGTAATGTAATCAGATGTGTCTCCATGTACTCACCTCCGTCCTGTAGATCGGTCAAAACATCCTCCTCTTCTAACCGAAAGTGAGACAATGTCGGCTTCCCTTTCATCTTTTTGGCGAGTACCCATTTTTTGCATCTTATGGCCTGATCTGCCATGTTCGGTTAATTTACACCTACAATGACCGTATAATCCAGATCTATACTGATGTTCACCCAGTACATTGAGGAATAAACCTACAGTCCTAAACGATGATAGGAGATGCGTCCGGAAATTCCTCTTTATGTGGTATCCGGAAATTTCTGAATGTGATAGGAGTGAGTTTTATACACGATCAGTTCGGGTTTATCAACTGTGTACAAGGCTGCAGCACACGAATGATTAGGTCATCATGGCAGAGTATGCATCTTTTGTCCCGAAAGGCTGAGAAATCGTAACATATATACCGTATACATAGATATACATCTTACTTTGGCAAAGGTTCAAAAGAAGGAGACAAGGAATCATTTTTTATGTAGTGAACGTTTCCACACTTTCGCTTTTTAATAAGAAAATCTGTGATACTCGTTAAGGAGTGCGGCGTTCGAAAGAAGAAACGCTGTGTGTAACTGCACGAGTATGCTCCCGATAACCTGACGGAATTTATCTAACAGCAAACTGTTGAAGTCATGGACGATAACTGCTGTAGGTTCATCATCGAAAAAAAAGCTTCCCTTTCATCTTCACAATATGGGTTTCAAGAAAAAAAGGTTAATGGGAAAATAAATGAATAGGACAAACTTGTTTTATATTATATAATTTTGATAGCAAACGTTGTTACTTTATCTTTTTTTTTTACTCGACGTAATTGCAAATATCTTAAAAATCACATTCTTGATAGGAACGAAAAAATGACAAGGAAGTACTCCAAGTGTCAAGTAAAGAAACATGGTAAGCAGTTTCCTCGGGAAGTCCGACCAGGAAGACATTGTGGCCTATATTCAAAAAGGCGCTGGATGCAAAGGAAAAGACGTTTTTTTGTTCGGGACATTTTGTATGTAGATGATCAGCTCTAGAGGAAATCCAACAGTGATAATAGCGGTAGTAGCGCCCATGTCCATCAGGGTAACAGAGGGAAGTATTGTGGAAGAGGTGGTAACATTATCAATCATCCCTCAGCATTCACTCACATAATCCATAGAACAATGTGGAGTGTGAGGATGCGTGCCAGAATATGGATATCAAATTGTTGTCTTGGAACATCAATGGCGAACTAAACAATAAACTCATGTCTGTCAGTTTTTATAGCCATGTTAATTCTACCATTGAATTATCCAATTACTTAATGGATACTGAACGAGTATTCTTTGTCTATTGAGAGTTTATCCAAGACAATAAGCCGTGCGATATCAAGGAGGCGGTATCTTGATAAAAGGTCATATATTTTGTAGATGTAACTGAACCAGTGTGCGATTCAGATGTCTTGTAGAAGATATCTAATCATCTAATTAGATTTGTATTGTATTTTCCCCTGTCAAATTCTGTTTTAGTATAATCTATACAGCTGTAATTTGTTTTTTGAGGTTGAAAGAAGTATCGGAAAATATAGCTAATTTGGTGATGTAATGTTGGTGTGATTTTAACAGTCGAACCCATTTTTATATTAAATGATGTAATCCATTTCAGTATCCATGATCAATGATCATTTACAAAAATTGTCAGATGATTAAATGAATTTGATGAAGTATTTAGTGCAAGAAATAAACCAGATGTTGTAATTAATACCTTTGGTTGTCGTGTGATCGAATTATGTAAATCTTGTTATATCGTGTAACGTACCAGGCAAGAATGGATTTTACTTATTTTGGGCATAATGGTATGAGTACTGTTTACCTTTGTATATTGAATGACGCACTGTTTAACTTAACTTAAAAAGTTTCCAACTTTAACTTTCAACTTCTTATCATGCTCCGTTGCATATTCAAATGAAGTCCAGATTGACTCGTCCAAATGTTTTGCTTAATGATAACCTCAGTGTGAGCAGCCAGCGAGAGCCGGTCTACAAGAAGTAGGATAAATCTAATGAAACCTATTTCAATCTATTGTCTGTTAATGAATATTTACAGAATGTTATTGTGGTACCGGAATCTGTTACTCAAGGCGATATTAATTATAGTGTTAGTAAGTTTACTGATGTATCCCTGTGTACCATGGAGTCATTCATTATACATGTACCTCGTGATAGCAACTATGATAATGAGTCTTGTGTTAAAAGCCCTGTATGTGCCCTATAAAAATGCATTTTTGACGTTCAATAAGGATAAATATGTTGTCACCCATTCTACTTTGATTAAGAAGAAAAGGAGGCATGGATTAAATGAATCCATTAAAAATAAAATATACGAGATATGGTGATACAATGGATTATATCAGAATAATAATGAAATGATTTTTCTCTACAAAATTAAAAAAAAACCCACCTGATATGAATATAACCAAACTAATAAAAAACATTATCCAAGAACGATAACTCTGAGTCCGAGATAATACGTGAACATGTTGAAGATATACCTATGTATGATGAAATAAGTAATGCTGTGAAGAATTTAAGAAGAGGCAAGTCTCATGGCCTAGATGGTATCATAATGAATGTTTTTTCGGGGTAGGGATATTTTATTGCCTATTTTGCACATTTTTAAACAACATTTTAGAGTATGCATTTTTTCCTGCTGACTAGTCAATTGCTGCGATTACATAAAATAGGCGATTTGTCTGGTCCGAATAATTTCAGAGGAATACGTATTGTAAGTTATTTAGGAAAATTGTTTATATCTATATCGAAATAACCGGTAATTGAAATTGTCCCAAGCATATGATAAAATATCTGATGCTCAATTTGGGTTTAGATCTGAAATTAGTACTGTCGATTTTTTTTATCTATTCTAGGATATCTAAATCTTTAAATAATAAGAAAATATTCTACGTTGCTTTGGTGATTTTCGCCAATCTTTTGATAAAGTTAATAGCGTAAATATTTGGTATAAACTCTCAAAACTTTGAATAAGAGGAACACTTCTTAAAGTTGTAAAGTCTATGTATCTACAAGAAAAATCGTGTAAAATTAAACGGTAACCTGTCTGATTTCTTCGTTATTAATGACGGCCTCTCGCACGGTGAAATATTATCACCGGCATTTTTTTTCTCTATAAATGAATGATTTTGAATAATTTTTATGTTATGATAATGTTGTCATGTTGGTACTTTCTTGACTTTTTTTATATCCACTGTTGTGTGCCGATAGCCTTGTTTTATTTTCTGAATCCGCGGAAGGTCGTCAAGAATTGCTTGATAATCTAGATGTCTATTGTAATGAATGGAATCATACTGTAAGTCTAGATAAAACTAAAATTAAAAGTGGTAGATTACAATGGTATTATAAAGGTTGTATGGTTTCTTGCGTTGATCAGATTTCATATTTAGGATTTTTACTAAAATGTAATAACAGATTTAGTTATATCCAGAAACAACTGGCTGCCCGAGGACGTAAAACGGTGTTTGCTTTACTTTCCAACTGCTCTTATTCAAACCTTAATATAAAAACCATGTTGCATTTATTTGATACTTATGTGGGTAGTAAAAACTGTTAAAAGTAAAGAAGTCGGCGTGTAACGGTCTGGTGTATTCTGACTTTGGATGGCTTCCTTAGGGTTTTTTGAGAAAATATAGAAAGATGTAATACTGGTTTAGAATGAGACTTTCTGATAACTGTATCCAAATTATATAATTTTCTGTTAAACCTGTGTAACAGAAATGTGTTCAATTGGGTCACTTCGGTTAAAGAACAATTGCATAATTTAGGTTTAAATGATATTAATGTCACTAGTATCACTCGACTAATCAATTATGCACACGTTGGAAAATTCACCGAAATGTCTTATATATAGATCAATTTTAAGTTTGCAGTTTTATATTAGTAAATGTATACCAACGAAATACCGTTTACGTTTGACAAGACTCCGTGCGTCATGTCATTCTCTTGCCATAGAGACACGAAGATATAGCATTATTATTAGTTAATTGAATGCTCGAGTATCCATATACACAATATTAAAGACCTTTGTATGTGTCTATGAAGTTGATAAATTGCGAAATCTCTTATATATAGAATGTGTAACAATAGTCTTCATTCTCTATCATGCTTTGTATATATAAGATGTACTGATGGGAAAAAGGCCTAAAGTTGTACTCAAACGACTAGGAACATCTATGGCAATGGGTTACAAAACAAAGTCGTATGGGGTGTTCCCTGAACGCCAACGTTTTTTTAAACAATAGGAAACAATGGAAATGGCAAGTCAATTAAATGCTGTTTCATATTAAGGGTGCATTATTTTCACCTGAATTGTTACCTGTGATTTACTTGTAAAACAGGTAAGATAAATAAAATAAGTAATTAATGATATATTTAGTATGATAGAGTACTACGTGATAAATAAACGTGATAAAGAAGAAATTTCGATTTCCTGAGATAAAGATATTATGATATTTAGATAAAACTAAAACATTTTTAAAAATTGAAATGAAAATAAATACACTTAATGAACTTGTAGGCTGTGATAACGAACATTATATACTGCATTAAATGGTGTATATTACATTTTGAATTCTCTCTATACTTTATATATGTCGTTAAAGAGAATCGTTTTTACACGTATTCAAACTATTCAACTAGCATGGATTCTGATCTGATAAATTAATCGCATTATTACAATGTACATACATTTCATATTTTACAAAAAATATTAAAAATAAACATACAGGTACGTACAGTGCCCGAGTACCAAAGTTGTACAGGTAAACTTTCCTGCTTGAACTGACATTATTTGAGGAAAAAAGACCATAATCCCTACGAAAAAACCTGCCCTGTGGGGAAATTCAAATTGTTGGTGATCAGATATACACCCAGTTGTATTGCCCAAAACGTCGAACTTAAAAGATGTCGGCAATTGACAGACAAACTCACCACAATGGGGTTCAAGATATGCAGGTTGATGGAAATGATGGGAAAGATTTACGGTCGTCATAGCGATCTCAGGGAAAAATATTCTTATTCCTCGTTCCATATGAAGATGATCGTGTTTGATTCTTGTTAGTATACTTGTCAGTTCCGTGTTGTTTA